GGGGTTTAGGGTTTAGGGTGATCGAGATTTGTTGCGAGCCACGATCAAGCTTCCGCAAGGAAGGTCAGTGGGTGATGTTCAGGTGGTGTGGATCAACTCACATCGAGAAGAGCTGTATGAAGCGGTGGGATGTGATGAGGTGCATTTTCTGTAACCAGAAAGCAGATGCTGCGAAGTCCTTTGAAAAAAAACAACCTCCACAACTGCTGCCATCATAACAGGCGCTGCTGTCAAACATTTCTGAAACCTCATGTCGTGAAAGAACTGCTGCTGCTGCTGCTGCTGCTGCTGCTGCCTACCGCTTGCCCAGCTTCTTGCACTGTGCTGGTTTCGCGTGAACGCCGGATTCCATCAATGTGAGGTGACCCTAAACCCTGAACCGTGAAAGAAAACCAAAGCCGATCTTTCCAAGGACACCGACCGGAGTGGCACGCTCACAGCGTGCCTCGGTTACTATAGAAGCCCTGAGCGGGTCTAGGATTGTCAGGGTTGTTTGGGGGTTTGGGGTTCAGGAATATACTTATCAATACTCCGCCTTGGGGCGAATACTATACTTATAGTAACGTATTACTGCTTGGGGCTCTTGATTATTACTGTAATGATATATCCTCAAAACCCCTCTTGATGAGGCCTCTGCGCTACGTGTACCTAGCGGCTCAGGGGACTTAGCAAGGCTTTAAGGGTTTAGGGATCAAAGGGTTTCAGGATTTTGGGGTTTACGGATTACGGTTCTCAGGATCAGAGTTTGGCTTTTAGCATCTAGGGCCAGTGTACTTAGAGGCTTAAGGCTCATAGGTGACGGTGCGGCCATTTTTGTGCAACTCCAAAGCCTGCAAAAGCTCATGTTCAGCCAACCCGAACACAAGAGGCGACAATTTGAATCATACAGTCGGCTGGTGGATGCCCGGAGTGTGATGAGGTGCGCCCAAACCTGAACCCTACAGCCCTAAGCCCTTAAGCACGAAACCCTTGGCAGTTCGCATGTCTGCAAACGGACAATGGCCCACAAACAAAAAAGACTTGGTGCTTGGTAAACCCTACAACCGTGATTTTTTTAAACCGTAAAAATTATAAATCAACGTTCGTGCAGGGAAGTGAGCCCCTCAGGTACATGCGGGTTCAGGTTTCATGAACGGGGAACATCGAACGGTTGGTTTATCATCGTTATCACCCTACCATAACCTAGAAGTCTGAAGATTTCTCAGCGCAGTAGAGTATATAGCAACACCCCATTAGTAACGCCTTCATATTAACTTACCAGTCACGAGTCCTTTCGAAGGACAGAACTCAAGAAGATGATCAGGAAGGAGTCGCGAAGGGCATGGCATGAATGGATCAAGAATAGGATTAGTGTTTAGGGTTTTAGGGCTTAGGGTTTAGGATTTAGGGTGAGGGACGTAGGGTATGACGGTATGTTGCCGTGGAGGGTCTGCGGGTTCCTGAACCATTGAGGGTTCGGAAGTGGATTGTGGACTACTACACTAAACCCTAAACCCTAAGCCCCAAACCCTACTGGATTCATGGCTTAGGGCCTGATATCAGGATGTAGGTGTTCAAACTTCCGTGGCTGTGATAGGGTTTAGGGTTTAAGGTTTAGGGGGTTTAGTGGCGGTGATATTCTTGGCTCAAGTTATGGCACTTGAACGCAGTACGACGAAGGTCTGCCTTGCCCCGACATTCCCAACATTTATGGTCGTGCACCCGTTATCCGTGCATCGTACTTATCAGTCAGGCTACCTAGACTCCAAAATGCAGTATGCGTTTTTGGATAACTTACTTTCGTGTTCTGAGATCCAAGCCCTAAGATAGGTTATCCACGAAAAGGTAGGTTACAGTCTAGTCTAGGGTCTAGGTAGAATCGCCATGGCGGGTTCACACCGACTGTATACTGGGCCCAACACTCCCATGTGGGTAGTTCTCTGAAGCATGGTCCTTTTCAGGTCCTGTACCATATACACTGTATAGACTTAGGCCTTAAAGCCTTAAAGGGGTTCCTATACAGGCACTTGCAGGCCTAAGTCATATTACACAGGTACATGGAAGGGTTTCGGATCACGTGCCCCTAGCAAGCACATTGTTGAAGCCCCAGTTCCCATGATTATGCCTTGATGGGCAAGGGAACGTCAGGAGCCGCATGGAAAAACAGATGCCGAAACTGTTGGGGTCGTTGCAGGCCGAAGGACGACGACATTTTTCAAGGGTACCTTGCTAGGCCAACGTTGGAGGATTGCTGTGCCGAGCTTCAGAACAGAACTGCTTCCTGCTCGCAAGGATGCACCAAGTGCACCGTGTGCGCCTGACCACCTTTAAGCAGCCGGCAGTCGTGTGAAGACTGGAAGTGGTGTTGACCTAAACAAAGGTAGCTGCGCCTTTGTTAAGTTTAGGGCCGTTAGGGTTTGGGCTCGGGGTTTCGGGCTCCTTTGCCTGAACCGTCCCTGTGGCCGAGACACACTGGTGGGCTGGTGGCGTGGTGCTTCGCAGTATCGCAGTTCAATCGCCTCTGAACTCCAGAACGCTAAAGCCTAAAGCCCTAAATCCTTGAACCAACTAGGTTTCAGGCGTAGGGTTTGGCGTGCATCTCCTTACATAGCACATGCCTAGAACATGTGCGTGAAGGCAGTCTGCCCGAAATAGCAAACCTGCTCAACAACGGGCTACGCAATCCAATGTCAATCAAAGCCACACTCCTGCATGGCCCTCTTTTACTCATTACAACCCATCGCCTAAACCCCCCTATACCAACCCCATGGCAATCAGCCTGAGCCCTCAAACATAATAGGGTTCCTAAGCCCTACTAAACCTAAACCCTAATTCCTAAACCCTGAGCCTAAACCCTCAACCGAATCCTAAACCCACAGCTTCCAGCCCTGAAGCACGGCCCCAAGCGCCCGGTTTAAGGCTAATTACAGTATCATATGCCCCGAAACCGCTCTTGTAAGAAGTAATTGTTTTTATCAAGCCCCTAAACCCTAAACCCCCCTAATTAGGGCTTAGGGATCTGAGTTCTGAAGCGGAGTTCAAGCTTAGAGACACTCCGACAGGACTCTGATATTTGATCGGGTCTTACAAACAATCTGAGGATTTAGGGTTTAGGGTTTAGAGAATTAGTAGGAATGTCTTCATGTAGCCACAAGTCTAGACTCTACCACCCCCAAACCCGCTTCCGGTGAGTAAGACCCCTGATTGGACGGTCTAGGGTAGCAGATGCAGCCATATCCTGCCTCCACCGTAAAGCAGAGGAGCTGCGTATCACAACTGCGTTGGTCAGCGACCGCGATGTGGAGGACTGAATGGTTTACTCGTTTCTATAAAAGGTTCGTTGGGTCTATGAGGGTTGAGTTAAAGAGTGAGCTCAGCACCCTCGAGCGCCGAACCCTCACAGAACCTCTCCGCAAACCGAATAATCCTTAGAAGTTTAACCCCCCAAATACAGCCTTGAGAGAAAGCACAGAAGTTCTTAAATAGAGCGCTCTTGCTGTAGAAGCTGACCTAAACAACATACATGTGTTTTAGGGCAGCAGCTGGGCGGTTATGTGTACACTCTACCCTACTGAAGCCCAGTAACCCATACAGTGAATCCTATTTAACCACGTATCCCCCTGTTTAGGTAACACGGCTCTTAGAGCCTTAAACCCCAAACCTTGAACCCTAAACCTCAGATCCCTAAACCATGCTCCAACGCTGACCACCTTTCTACCATTGGGACATGTAGGCCTGTACGCTGCCCTACACTCTAAGACCTCAACTCTCACATCCTAAATTCACAAGCCTAAACCCTTCACCTTTGTCCCCAAACGCTTCTTCCTAAACCTGAACTCACAAAGCCCTAAGCCCTCAACCCACAACCCAGATTACAAATACTTTCTTATAAACCCATACGCTAGATCCCTTAAAGGAGCCCTTATCATGGATCCCTTCTTATGGCTCCAGTAATAGCGGTCCTGCACAGGAACTCTGAAAGGAGCCTTCTAGCAAAAGCCCTAAAATACCCTAGATTTGGCAGGATTTGGCGGCGGCCTTGGACGGAGATCACACAGGCGACTACACTGGGGTTTAGGGTTTAGGATGTAGGGTTCAGGGTTCATTGGGCTTAAGGTTTTTAGGACTTCGTGTTTTATACTCGGGAGAAGCTTTCTCTAAGAGCCCCAAAGGGCTTCCAAAAAGAGTTAGCAAGACGGTCAGTAGAGGGGGCTTGACTGAGAGTTCTAGGGTTTGGGGTCAAAGAAAGAGCCTAAATCCTAGACATGACATCCACTTGTAGAATAGACTGGAGAGCCTCTTGGCCGGAGGCCACCACGCATCCCTAAAGGGTTCCGGGTTCTTTGAGGGTTTCTAGAAGGGTCTTCGTGAGGTTTTCGAGGTTTTTTGCGGGGTTTAGTAGGGGTTATAGAGGCTGTCTGGCGCTTAGTAGGGAATGGGGGAATGGGTTATAGGGGCTACTCTAAGGGACCTTAGGGGACTATCATAGGGATCCACTTTCCCCGCTCCAAAGCCTCTCTGTCAAGGACAAGACCTTACACCAACTCAATGGGTCCAACAGTTCAGGGTGGACTCTTTGTAGGGTTTAGGGCTTAGGGTTGAGGGGTGTTCATAGACCCGTAAAAAAGCACAATAAGCCACTAAGGCGCCCTTACAAATTGCTGCAACAGCTTGTAAAGGCCCGTAATTCAGGAGTTCTGGAGCCCCTGCATTCTGCCGACCCTCAACAATCCTACACCCTAAACCCTAAATCCTAAACCCTAAATCCTAAACCCTAAATCCTAAGCCCTAAACACTAAACCCTACTTTCAGGCAACATCAGCATTGAGGAGCTCCTCTCGTTCATCGAACGTGGCAGCGCGACCTTCTTCCGTGACACGTCCTCCACCAAGGCGGAACTTTTGGGGCTCTGTTAGTAGGGTTTAGTCTGTTTAGGGTTTAGGGTGAAGGCCGTGAAGGCCTGAACAATTAGCAATGCTGTTCCTCAGGGTTCCTGATTATACTGGTAGCATAACATACCCGCGAGCCCTATTTTGATTATTAGGGCTAGTGTAATAATCAAGCCATGTTCAGTGCCTGCAGTTCCTTGCGCAGATCTTGTATTGTGAGGCTGCTCAGGCAGCACTGAAACACTAGGGTACATAGAGACTGACTAGGGTCCAAAGTTCAGGGGCGTAGGGCATGTGGAGAAGGTTGCTCCGCGCTTCTTCAGCTGCTTTACGGTTGTGAAACAGTGTCATCGCTAGCCGCTGAGCAGCCATAGCAGCAGTCTTGAGCGAGACGATCCTACTCACAACTACTGTCTCCACCGTAAAACGCGTTGCCCCAGGTCACGACCGATCCGTCACCAAGAATGGCAGCAAAAGCGAGGTTAGTGGCTTGGATCTGCTGCACATACTTCAGCTGATCCTGCACAGCGCTACTGTCACCACCATCCGCAGCAGCACCCCAGGTCACGACGGATCCATCGCCAAGAATGGCCGCAAAGGCACAGGTTGTGGCTTGGACCTGCTGCACATTCATCAGCTGATCTTGCACATCTCTGCTGTCACCACCATAGAGCGCATTGCCCCAAGTCACGACAGAGCCATCCCCGAGAATGGCAGCAAAAGCGTAATACGATGCTTGGATCTGTTGCACATTGTGCAGTTGATCTTGCACGGCACTACTATCACCACCATGATCACCATCACCCCAGCTCACGACAGATCCATCGTCGAGAATGGCAGCAAATGCGGCCAAAGAGGCCTGAATCTGCTGCACGTTAGTCAGCTGAGCCTGCACAGCACCACTGCCACCACCATACGCAGCATCACCCCAGGTCACGACAGATCCATCAGCAAGAATGGCAGCAAAAGCACCTGCAGAGGCTTGAACCTGCTCTACATTCTTCAGCTGATCCTGCACATCACTGCTGCTACCGCCATGCCGAGCATTGCCGCAGGTCACGACAGATCCATCGCCAAGAATGGCAGCAAAAGCGCTGTAGGAGGCTTGGATGTGCTGCACATTCTTCAGTTGATTTTGAACTGAATGACTGTCACCACCACGGCGAGCTCCACCCCAGGTCACGACAGATCCATCGCCGAGAATGGCAGCAAAAGAACCGTCCCTAGCAGCTTGGATCCGCTGCACCGTCTTCAGCTGATCCTTAACAGCGCTGCAGTCACCTCCCTGGCTAGCAAAACCCCAGGTCACGACGGATCCATCGACAAGAATGGCAGCAAAAGCACCCTCAGAGGCTTGGATCTGCTGCACATTCTTGAGCTGATCCTGTACAGCACGACTGTCACCACCGTTGTCAGCCTGACCCCAAGTCACGACGGATCCATCACCAAGAACGGCGGCAAAAGCGAAGTCAGTGGCTTGGATCTGCTGCACATTATCAAGTTGGGCCTGCACAGCACTGCTGTCACCACCAAAGTCAGGATCACCCCATGACACGACAGATCCATCACCAGGAACGGCAGCAAAAGCACTGTAAGAGGCTTGGATTCGGATGCTGCTTATGTGCAACGTCAGTGAGTCCCCGTCCTGCAGCCTGGCATCAGTGATCGTTGAATCTACCCTCAGAACGCTTCCAGATGAGTCCACCAGTCGCCCTTTCCCGACCCCAAATGCAGCCTGTGCTCGAAGCTTGAGCGTTCCCACATCTTCTTCCAAGTCTGCGTTCACTTTAGCCGTCCTGCCGCTGAGCAGTCTGACTTCCACAGTGATGGCCATACTCCACCCGCAAACTATAAACCCTACTTGGAGGGTCGGGGGACTTACTAATGGTTATTTTATAGACTTATAAGTACTATAACCCCAATTAGGGTCCCTTTTAGGGTACCTATAAGTCTACTTATTGCCTATTTACTAAGTCTCCCGACCCTCCAAGTAGACCCAAAGTCTGCCAAAGTAAACTTCCTGGCTCAGGGCTCTGCAGGGCTGAGGGAGTACTTGGGACAAGGGGGGTTCAGGAAATAGGGTTTAAGGGCTTAGGGTTGTAGTTTACATGCTTAGGGCTTGAAAAGCCTACCCGCTTCAGGTTCCAAAATTTGATTTCCCACATGTCCAATATACACCCTACTTGGAGGATCATGGGACTTAGTAAGTAAGGTTATAAGTCCCCTAACTGGGTTATAAGTGTAGTTACCCTAGTTAAGTTATAACCCTACTTACGAAGTCCCATGATCCTTGAAGTAAACCCTAAACCCAGAGACTCCAATACCCCTTAATTAAGGAATATACCTTAAATCATATTAGGGATCCTACTATAATTTAAGGTGTATTCCTTAATTAAGGGGTACTGGAGTCTCCGGGAACCTCGCTGGAGGGGTGGGGGGGACTTAACTTAATTAGGGGGTTCAAGGCGAAGGGGCTCGCCTTGTCAGCTTGTCGAGCTCGAGGCGGGGCTTAGCTGCTTGGAAACCTTCTTACTTGGTACGGTTTAGGGTTTAGGGTTTAGGGTTTAGGGTTTAGGGTTTAGGGTTTAGGGTTGAGGGCTGTGTCATGGGGAACTAAAGGTTGACCAGCGGGAGAGAAAACAAACCTAAACCCGAAACCCCAACCCCCCAAAAAAACAGCAACAGCAACATGATTGCCATGATGTTGCGTCTTCACAAGCCAACGGCTTAGGGTTTAGGGTTTAGGAGTTTCGGGTTTGCAGTAGAAGACAAAAAGGTGGAACATCATTATCATCTTGCCCTTGGGGTAAAGTAGAGGGGATCCCAGCACTCATCATCCTAAACTCATGTTCCAACTTTCTGGGATTCACCATCGTATTAACAAAGGCTTGCTCAAAGAATACCGGGAAATCATACGTTGAATCCCATGAGTTGATATGAGGTTTCTCGCTTGCACGGGCACAAACCCAGCCACTGACAGCCCATCTAAGCAAGCATAAGCATCATACTTGGAGGTTCATGGGACTTAGTGCGTACAGTTACAACCACCTTCATTGGGTTCTGAGTAGTTAGAAGTGTAGTTGCCTTGTTTGTAAACCCAGTTACGAAGTCTCATGAACCTCCAAGTAGGGTTCATGACAGCACACAACACTGGAAAAACCAACGGAAACAAGAAAACACAATCCCGACTTGCCCACTACATTCTGGAGCCTGACAGAATCACAAATCCGAGGACCGAGGCCGAACACTTCCACGATAACGGATGAATGACTTATTGTGGGGTTCTGAAATGACCCTACACCCTAAACCCTGCGAATTGAAATCCGTAAAGTCGGCACTTTAGAACCCTGCGGCATTAAACTTGAAAAACCTAATCGCAAAACACATGAAAGCTCCAAGCCCTCTTCATAGTGACCTTTACAGAGTAGTAGCCCTAAATCCCAAACCCCAAACCCCTAAACCCTAAACCCAACCATATTCTCGGACCTCTTCTTTCCAACCGGGAGCTTTAATGGTTGGGTGTAGGGTTTAGGGTTTAGGGTTTAGGGTTTAGGGTTTAGGGCCTAAGCCCTAAACCCTGAACAGAAAAATGTTCCTAAGTATTCAACTGTACAGGCTTCTATATTACGTTGACCTCTACGGCCAAAGCACATATTTTACCGGCACATGGAGCCTATACAACTCTATAGTAAGTCCGACTAAATCCTGACAAACCCGTCTAGAAGCCGCAAAAGATTCCTTTCAGGAGGCCCCTTAGACCCTCGCCCCCAAACCCTCAAAAGGAATCCACAAGGGAACCATTTCAAGGGTACGCCCCGTTCTCGATCCAAAACCCTGAACTTAAACCCTGAAGCCCAAACCCCAACTAAACCGTCCCCGCATTAAAGGAAACTACAAGTGGGGAGTTTAGGGTATATAGGGCTTCTATAAGGCTTCCATAAAGTATATAGACCTTCTGTAAGGCTCCTATAACGGTAACTGCCTGAAAATGTCCTAGACCGCAACCCCCTAAACCCGAAACCTAAAAAGTTAAACCCTCCTCCCTAGACCCCCATAGATCCCTCATAGAGCCCAGAAAGGATCCCTGAGCCCCCAAACCCTAAAAGCCGAAACCCTAAACCCTTAACCCT